AGAGTGGCCAGAAAAAAGCCATTGCTTGAAGAAAAAAATAAGCAAACACGTTTGGTGTTCACCAAAAAGCATGTGGGAGACTCCCCAAATATATGGAAGAAGGTACTCTGGTCAGATGAGACTAAAACTGAGCTTTTTGGCCATCAAGGAAAACGCTATGTCTGGCGCAAACCCAACACTTCTCATCACCCTGAGAACACCATCTCCACAGTGAAGCATGGTGGTGGCAGCATCATGCTGTGGGGATGTTTTTCATCGGCAGGGACTGGGAAACTGGTCAGAATTGAAGGAATGATGGATGGCGCTAAATACAGGGAAATTCTTTAGGGAAACCTGTTTCAGTCTTCCAGAGATTTGAGACTGGCACGGAGGTTCACCTTCCAGCAGGACAATGACCCTAAGCATACTGCTAAAGCAACACACGAGTGGTTTAAGGGGAAACATTTAAATGTCTTGGAATGGCCTAGTCAAAGCCCAGACCTCAATCCAATTGAGAATCTGTGGTATGACTTAAAGATTGCTGTACACCAGCGGAACCCATCCAACTTGAAGGAGCTGGACCAGTTTTGCCTTGAAGAATGGGAAAAAATCCCAGTGGCTAGATGTGGCAAGCTTATAGAGGCATACCCCAAGAGACTTGCAGCTGTAATTGCTGCAAAAGGTGGCTCTACAAAGTATTGACATTGGGGGGGTGAGTAGTTATGCATGCTCAAGTTTTCAGTTTTTTTGTCTTATTTCTTGTTTGTTTCACAATAACAAATATTTTGCATCTTCAAAGTGGTAGGCATGTTGTTGAAAACCCACCAAAAATCCATTTTAATTCCAGGTTGTAAGGCAACAAAATAGGAAAAATGCCAAGGGGGTGAATACTTTCGCAATCCACTGTACAGTATGTTTTAGCAGGGAAGTTTGGTAGAGTGACCTGATTTGTAGCAATGAAAATAATTAATCAACAGATTGTGAACCGAAAAGTGTACGTTTGATTCTAGAGGATGGACAATTAATAGAACAATTATTTGATTAGGGTGTAAGGGCAGATTTGTCATTTTGTCTTCAAGAGATTTGATTATCTATTTACTTTATTTAGTCTGATCAGTGGAACAATTCTCATTCTTAACAATTGGCTAAAATATAGGGTTATTACTCTTCTTGTCAGGAAGGACACTACTGTTATTCCCCACACTTCCCAATTTTGCCAGTGTAATCACATATTTGAAATCGAATATGTCTACTGCTATGTATTATTGCAGCCATTCATGGACAGTTTTGAATATGTCATACAAATAAGCTTTGGATATGAAATGCTCCAGGAATCAAATATAATTTGACATTTTAGTATTGTGCACATGCTAGGCAGAGATGAGGGGGGGACTCACAACTTATAAACACATATTCTGTCAACGTAGAGGAAGAGGATGGCAAGGATCTTCAACTAGTAGGCATAAAGCACCTGAATATTGATATTCATTATGTTTTTATTGAAGGTTGGGTGAGTTTGAGGAATTATTGTTATAACAAGAACATTTTCAAACACCCAGCACTTATATAGATCAGGGGTGGCCAACCCTCCTGGAGAGTTAGAAGGGTTTTCTTCCAGCCCTATTTTAAAGGGACAGTTCACCCAAATTACAAAATACAAAATGTTTGTGTCCTTACCTTAAAAAGCAGTCTATGGACAAGTAGACTGCAATCTATGATTTGGTTACCCAATGCCATCAACCATTAATATTATTATTTCCTGTGCAGAGCCTTGGTTTGGTGGTAACACTACCCGGCACGTGTCGCATACAACTTTCCACCTGAGAACAGGGATCAATCCCTGCTTCCAACCTTCCCACTGTTTCTAGCATTTGCCTGTCTCCCCATCTCATTTCTGTCTGAATAAACTGTTAAACCACCCAAAAAAAATTTTAAACAAAATTTGAGCATTCTTTAAATTTCATCCCACCCAAAATCTCAAAGTAACAAAGTCGTTGAATTTTGAGTGTTCATTTAATGTTCAAAATACCCTAAACACACCTTACCTGTTTTTTATGTAAAAAGTTTCCACCATGTTCATATGCCTAGGTCATGTCAAAATACGTAGAATTGCAGGAAATTAGCTTTAAAACGGTACAATTTTCCGTTTAGGGGTTGTGCCAGGGGGCAATGAAATTCACATAGAAAATCTCACTCCCAAGCTTTCTTCAACATTTGGCAGCCATGCATTGGCATTTGGATTGGAACTGGTGCTATGGTCAGATCACATGAAAATAGAGCTTTTTGGCCATGCACACACCAGCGGTGGGTTGGTATAAAATAATATCATTTCCTTCTTTTTTTGCAACATAGCTCAGTATTTGTATTACACATTTTATACAGTATGTTTTGCTCATCTTTATCAAGGGTGCCAATAATTTAGGTCATGACTGTACTCTACTGTCACTACTGAGTTGAGTTGCGATGAGTGTCGGCAGAGTGTACCACTGTCAATTTCATCAAGCTGCTATCAGTCGATACTTGCAAAAATGTCCATTATTTAATGTGTATAGCTTACCTTGTACCTATGTTTGTCCTGTGCAACTATGGGCTTTTCTTTGGTTGCTGAAATCTGTAGTTTTTAATTAAAACAGTGCAGATATAAAGTTTGGTAACAGAATGACAGCACAAACTGTAATTTTGTTACCAAACTGGCATCTGCACTGTTCTTCAAGTAAATGTGTTTTTGTAAAATGTTCAGTGGACATTGTTAAAAGTAGTCCTTGTGCATAGAGTTATATGGTTTGTTTAACTTTGCAAACATTGGTTTTGTTTGTTAAAGTGAAAAATCTGAGTCTCAGCATCATTCTGATACGGTGGAATTGCCCAGTATCGACTGATAGCGACTCGGATGTAGTCGGTGGTAGACTCCGCCTACACAAATCGCAGCTCTACCCAGTATACATTGGGGGAAAAAAGTATTTAGTCAGCCACCAATTGTGCAAGTTCTCCCACTTAAAAAGATGAGAGAAGCCTGTAATTTTCATCATAGGTACACGTCAACTATGACAGACAAATTGAGGAGAAAAAATCCAGAAAATCACATTGTAGGATTTTTTATTAATTTATTTGCAAATTATGGTGGAAAATAAGTATTTGGTCACCTACAAACAAGCAAGATTTCTGGCTCTAACAGAAATGTAACTTCTTCTTTAAGAGGCTCCTCTGTCCTCCACTCGTTACCTGTATTAATGGCACCTGTTTGAACTTGTTATCAGTATAAAAAACACCTGTCCACAACCTCAAACAGTCACACTCCAAACTCCACTATGGCCAAGACCAAAGAGCTGTCAAAGGACACCGGAAACAAAATTGTAGACCTGCACCAGGCTGGGAAGACTGAATCTGCAATAGGTAAGCAGCTTGGTTTGAAGAAATCAACTGTGGGAGCAATTATTAGGAAATGGAAGACATACAAGACCACTGATAATCTCCCTCGATCTGGGGCTCCACGCAAGATCTCACCCCGTGGGGTCAAAATGATCACAAGAACGGTGAGCAAAAATCCCAGAACCACACGGGGGGACCTAGTGAATGACCTGCAGAGAGCTGGGACCAAAGTAACAAAGCCTACCATCAGTAACACACTACGCCGCCAGGGACTCAAATCCTGCAGTGCCAGACGTGTCCCCCTGCTTAAGCCAGTACATGTCCAGGCCCGTCTGAAGTTTGCTAGAGTGCATTTGGATGATCCAGAAGAGGATTGGGAGAATGTCATATGGTCAGATGAAACCAAAATAGAACTTTTTGGTAAAAACTCAACTCGTCGTGTTTGGAGGACAAAGAATGCTGAGTTGCATCCAAAGAACACCATACCTACTGTGAAGCATGGGGGTGGAAACATCATGCTTTGGGGCTGTTTTTCTGCAAAGGGACCAGGACAACTGATCCATGTAAAGGAAAGAATGAATGGGGCCATGTATCGTGAGATTTTGAGTGAAAACCTCCTTCCATCAGCAAGGGCATTGAAGATGAAACGTGGCTGGGTCTTTCAGCATGGCAATGATCCCAAACACACCGCCCGGGCAACGAAGGAGTGGCTTCGTAAGAAGCATTTCAAGGTCCTGGAGTGGCCTAGCCAGTCTCCAGATCTCAACCCCATAGAAAATCTTTGGAGGGAGTTGAAAGTCCGTGTTGCCCAGCGACAGCCCCAAAACATCACTGCTCTAGAGGAGATCTGCATGGAGGAATGGGCCAAAATACCAGCAACAGTGTGTGAAAACCTTGTGAAGACTTACAGAAAACGTTTGACCTGTTTCATTGCCAACAAAGGGTATATAACAAAGTATTGAGAAACTTTTGTTATTGACCAAATACTTATTTTCCACCATAATTTGCAAATAAATTCATTAAAAATCCTATTTTGTCTGTCATAGTTGACGTGTACCTATGATGAAAATTACAGGCCTCTCTCATCTTTTTAAGTGGGAGAACTTGCACAATTGGTGGCTGACTAAATACTTTTTTTCCCCACTGTAGATGTATATATGGACCAGGGGAGGCTGATGGGAGGAGCTATAGGAGGACGGGCTCACTGTAATGGCTGGAATGGAATAAATGGAACGGCGTCAAACGTGGTTTCCATATGTTTGATGTGTTTGATACCGTTCCATTAATTCTGTTCCAGCCATTACAATGAGCCCATCCTCCGATAGCTCCTCCCATCAGCCTCTTCTGAAATGGATGGAGTTAAGATACTCAGCAATGGCTACAGTAGCCTGTGCTGCATGACTGAGAACGGGTAAACAAGCAACTCTTCAGCAGCCACACCCACCCCTCTGAGTCGAGAGTTTGGATAGATTTTGATATATTCTGTATACAGCATCTACTTCCATTTATCCTCCAGGAGTTACTGAATCTCCTCTCTACTTCTGTCCTTCCTGTGAAGACAGACAGCATGTATTTTTTAGTAGGGTACTAACCCTAATGTTTTGCGTTATAATGTTATACTGTGTCTTTCCATGCCTCTGCAGACAGACGGTATGTCACGGCGTGTGTGTGTGATTGGAGGGGGAAGTTCAGGTCTGACCAGCATCAAGAGCTGTCTGGACGAGGGTCTGGAGCCCACCTGCTTCGAGAGCAGTGATGACATCGGGGGACTGTGGAGGTTCAAGGTAGGACGGACTGCTGCATCCCATCTCAATCAGTGTTAATTTCGTCAACAATGACTATGACGAGAAATATTTGCAAACCTATTTTCCCTGACAAAAACAAATGATGATAATGAGACGAGGAGCCATGAATAAAATGATAACTGTAACAAATGAGTTTTCATTTTATTGACGGAAAAAAATTGTGACGATGAGAATTCCAAGTGTGACTAATGGACATTCTATTCGACATGAAGTTCCTTTTCATTGTTTTGTCCAACCTTTGCAGAATATTTAATGTAATCCTCTCATTGGCAGAATTAATGTATTTCAGTTGCATGGTCTGATTAAGTTGATCTGCCCTGCTCTCCCACATAGCTCCCAGGTGGTCACTTCAGTCACTTGTCAATCTTTTGAACTGATGCGCAGCCAGGACAGGACACTTCAATTGTAACTAACCTAAACTAGAAACAATAATGTTTACTCTCTCCTACTTTCATGTAGGCTATTTTAGCTTTGATCATATCAGAAGCTCTATTTTCCCATGTGCGCTGTTATTCATCTGTGTTGCCGCTTTCACGGTCCGCAAATGCAAGTGCAGTTGTTTTTTCATGCTATTTGTTGAATATTAGCACTGGTGCTCCTAACTTCAAAAAGAAAGGAGCACCAGACAACATTTACTGCAAATTACTTTCCTATCATTCCTAATTGTCATCAGTTGTTACCTTGATGATGTAGAACGCATCACTAGAGAGTGGGCAAGACATTAGAATAAAAACAACTTTTAATAATTGTATTCAAAAGTGCAACTGCAAACATATTTACATAGGTGATTACAACAATCTTTATTGTATTTAAAAGTGCAACTGCAGACTGAACTGTTATCCATTACTGCATTCAGCTAACAGATAATAATAATAATAATAATAATAATAATAATAATAATACAAAACTATGTAGCTAATAATTTTAATGTTGTAACAACGCAACAGGCTGACTATGAACTGATACTTGGATATTGAAATAAATGTTTAGTCTCCTCTCACAATAACTAATCAATTTCTTTGATCTAGAATCTAGCTATTAAATCAGCTATTAAATCTACTCTACCCTTAAGGTTTAGGGTAGAGACGTCCCAAGGATCCCGGGTAATACTAACCCTCTTCCCGGATAGTGTTCTTGATGGTGCCAATAATGTTTGCGCAGGACACCTAGTTTCCATATGTCGGGTAGATTTGTAATCCGTTCTTTTCTGGGAGAGTAACATGGGTCTGAATTTGTTAAAAGCCATCTCCTCTTTGGCAATGCAGTAAGCAGTGTTAAATGTAATCTCTAGCTCAGCTCTGGCTGCCTGGTAGTAGACTTAGTGATGTTGCTCCCTCCCCTGTCCCGATGCACTTGTCCTGGAACTTGATGTGCTTTTGACTTAAGTTATACATGTTTCTTGTTGCTGGACCCAGTAGCAAAATAAGTCTTCCCTGCTACTATTAAAATGTATTTTAGTCAAAATAGACTAAAACAAAATCTAAAATAGCTGCCAAAATTAACATTGATCTATATACAGTGGCCTCATCTTCTCGTCTCCTCTCCTTCATCTCAATAGTCTAAAGTGGCTTCATCTTCTCGTCTGAAGCGCTCATTAAAAGTGTGGGGAAATGATTTTCTGATCTTTCCTCCTATTCTTCTCTCCATCCTTAGGAGAACCCGGAGGCTGACAGGGCCAGTATCTACCACTCTGTCATTATCAACACATCCAAGGAGATGATGTGTTTCTCGGACTTTCCCATCCCCGCCCACTTCCCCAACTACATGCACAACTCCCTCATCATGGACTACTTCCGCATGTACGCCGAACACTTCCAACTCACCAAGCACATACGCTTCCAGGTAGGACCTCAGTTCCTGGTCACAGCAATCATTTATACAGTTTCAAGGTGCATTCAGTGAGGTGAGGCGTTTAGAACATTGCATATGTTACACAACACTAGCACAATTGTTTGTTTGTGTGTGAGTTAGATCAGAGTCCTCCAGGTGAAGCCAAGACCAGATTTCTCTCGTTCGGGCCAGTGGGATGTGGAGACGGAGAACAAGAAGGGAGAGAAGGAGAAACATATCTTTGATGCTGTGATGATCTGTATAGGACACCACTGTCACCCCAACCTGCCTCTACACGACTTCCCAGGTAGCCTACAACACAGTGACCTCAGACACTGGGCCAATCTCAAATGACACCCACCCTAAGGTATATGTCATTTTAGACACAGCACCCTTAAGGAATAGGGTGTCATTTTAGACACAGCACCTCTAAGGAATAGGGTGCCATTTTAGACACAGTACCCTTAAGGAATAGGGTGTCATTTTAGACACAGCACCCCTAAGGAATAGGGTGCCATTTTAGACACAGCACCCCTAAGGAATAGGGTGCCATTTTAGACACTGCACCCCTAAGGAATAGGGTGCCATTTTAGACACTGCACCCCTAAGGAATAGGGTGCCATTTTAGACACAGCGACTGTCTGCAGCATTGGGTCCAGACCAGACTACAAGTCACGTCCACTTGTTTATATACACTGCTCAAAAACATAAAGGGAACACTAAAATAACACATCCTAGATCTGAATGAATGAAATAATCTTATTAAATACTTTTTTCTTTACATAGTTGAATGTGCTGACAACAAAATCACACAAAGATTATCAATGGAAATCAAATGTATCAACCCATGGAGGTCTGGATTTGGAGTCAACCTCAAAATTAAAGTGGAAAACCACACTACAGGCTGATCCAACTTTGATGTAATGTCCTTAAAACAAGTCAAAATGAGGCTCAGTAGTGTGTGTGGCCTCCACGTGCCTGTATGACCTCCCTACAACGCCTGGGCATGCTCCTGATGAGGTGGCGGATGGTCTCCTGAGGGATCTCCTCCCAGACCTGGACTAAAGCATCCGCCAACTTCTGGACAGTCTGTGGTGCAACGTGGCGTTGGTGGATGGAGCGAGACATGATGTCCCAGATGTACTCAATTGGATTCAGGTCTGGGGAACGGGCGGGCCAGTCCATAGCATCAATGCCTTCCTCTTGCAGGAACTGCTGACACACTCCAGCCACATGAGGTCTAGCATTGTCTTGCATTAGGAGGAACCCAGGGCCAACCGCACCAGCATACGGTCTCACAAGGGGTCTGAGGATCTCATCTCGGTACCTAATGGCAGTCAGGCTACCTCTGGCGAGCACATGGATGGCTGTGCGGCCACCCAAAGAAATGCCACTCCACACCATGACTGACCCACCGCCAAACCGGTCATGCTGGAGGATGTTGCAGGCAGCAGAATGTTCTCCACGGCGTCTCCAGACTCTGTTACGTCTGTCACGTGCTCAGTGTGAACCTGCTTTCATCTGTGAAGAGCACAGGGCACCAGTGGCAAATTTGCCAATCTTGGTGTTCTCTGGCAAATGCCAAACGTCCTGCACGGTGTTGGGCTGTAAGCACAACCCCCACCTGTGGACGTCGGGCCCTCATACCAGTCTGTTTCTGACCGTTTGAGCAGACACATGCACATTTGTGGCCTGCTGGAGGTCATTTTGCAGGGCTCTGGCAGTGCTCCTCCTGCTCCTCCTTGCACAAAGGCGGAGGTAGCAGTCCTGCTGCTAGGTTGTTGCTCTCCTACGGCCTCCTCCACGTCTCCTGATGTACTGGCCTGTCTCCTGGTAGCGCCTCCATGCTCTGGACACTACGCTGACAGACACAGCAAACCTCTTGCCACAGCTCGCATTGATGTGCCATCCTGGATGAGCTGCACTACCTGAGCCACTTGTGTGGGTTGTAGACTCCGTCTCATGCTACCACTAGAGTGAAAGCACCGCCAGCATTCAAAAGTGACCAAAACATCAGCCAGGAAGCATAGGAACTGAGAAGTGGTCTGTGGTCACCACCTGCAAAACCAGTCCTTTATTGGGGGTGTCTTGCGAATTGCCTATAATTTCCACCTGTTGTCTATTCCATTTGCACAACAGCATGTGAAATTTATTGTCAATCAGTGTTGCTTCCTAAGTGGACAGTTTGATTTCACAGAAGTGTGATTGACTTGGAGTTACATAGTGTTGTTTAAGTGTTCCCTTTATTTTTTTGAGCAGTGTAATATAGTATCAACAGGAGAGGGGAGCAGTTGGCACAATACAGATTGAACCTTGAACTGTGACCTGTAGATACACTACATGACTAAAAGTATGTGGACACCTGCTCGTCGAACATCTCATTCCAAAATCATGGGCATTAATAAGTTGGTCCCCCCTTTGCTGCTATAACAGCCTCCACTCTTCAGGGAAGGCTTTCCACTAGATGTTGGAACATTGCTGCGGGGACTTGCTTCCATTCAGCCACAAGAGCATTAGTGAGGTCGGGCACTGATGTTGGGCGATTAGGCCTGGCTCGCAGTCGGCATTCCAATTCGTCTCAAAGGTGTTCGATGGGGTTGAGGTCAGGGCTCTGTGCAGGCCAATCAAGTTCTTCCACACTGATCTTGACAAACCATTTCTGTATGGACCTCGCTTTGTGCACGGGGGCATTGTCATGCTGAAACAGGAAAGGGCCTTCCCCAAACTGTTGGCACAAAGTTGGAAGCACAGAATCGTCTAGAATGTAATTGTATGCTGTAGCATTAACATTTCCCTTCACTGGAACTAAGGGACCTAGCCCGAACCATGAAAAACAGCCCCAGACCATTATTCCTCCTCCACCAAACTTTACAGTTGGCACTATGCATTGGGGCAGGTAGCGTTTTCCTGGCATCTGCCAAACCCAGATTTGTCCGTCGGACTGCCAGATGGTGAAGCGTGATTCATCACTCCAGAGAATGTGTTTCCACTGCTCCAGAGTCCAATGGCAGCAAGCGTTACACCACTCCAGCTGATGCTTGGCATTGCGCATGGTGATCTTAGGCTTTTGTGTGGCTGCTTGGCCATGGAAACTAATTTCATGAAGCTCCCGACTAACAGTTATTGTGCTGACGTTGCTTCCAGAGGCAGTTTCGAACTCGGTACTGAGTGTTGCAATTACGCGCTACGCGCTTCAGCACTTGGCGGTCCCATTCTGTGAGCTTGTGTGGCCTACCACTTCGCGGCTGAGCCATTGCTGCTCCTATAAGTTTCCACTTCACAATAACAGCACTTACAGTTGACCGGGGCAGCTCTAGTAGGGCCGAAATTTGACGAACTGACTTGTTGGAAAGGTTGCATCCTATGACTGTGCTACGTTGAAAGTCACTGAGCTCTTCAGTAAGGCTATTCTACTGCCAATGTTTGTCTATGGAGATTGCATGGCTGTGTGCTCGATTTAATACACCTGTCAGCAACGGGTGTGGCTGAAATAGCAGAATCCACTAATTTGAAGGGGTGTCCACATACTTTTGTATATATAGTGTATGTCAGCTCTAACCCCGAGTCTGGTCTTATCTCAACTCCATTTTAAGGTTTGTTGATCAAGCGGTCTCATAATAGTGGCTGAAGGGCACTGTATCGTAGGTTAGTCGTGATAGAGACCAATGCATGGCGGATGATAGGTAGGTTGAAGCAGGATTCATATTTAAAAGGTATTTATCTGTTGGTCAGAAACACAGTTAATATCAAGTACATGGTCACTCTTTACCTCTTTACAAAGCAGACAGAACCCATATGTAAAGTGTCTTGATTCATTTGCTCTCTGTCTCATTTCGGCCACAGTCTTATCTCACTTACTGTGCACTTGCTACCCCTAGTAGTACTGTGTGGGGTGGTCAGTCAGTCAGTGACACAGGCCTGTCTTCCAGGTATCGACACATTCAAGGGCCAGTACTTCCACAGCCGGGACTATAAGACGGCAGAGGAGTGGCGGGGGAAGAGGGTGGTGGTGATCGGCATCGGCAACTCTGGAGGAGACATCGCTGTGGAACTCAGCAGGGTCACCAAACGGGTACAGTAGAACAGCGGGGAGTTAGGATCTAAACAGGTACAACGACCAAGCAAAACCAGTTTTACACACCACCAAGTAGGCCCCAGTCAAACAGGGCATTTTGTAACAATCAGTTGATATTCATATCAAACGGCTTCCTAGAAATGATCAAAACCATTTGAACACACTCACAAAATGATGCAACATATGACCCAATTTGCTGTGTAGTGAGGTGGGGCCAATATTGTCATATGCTCAGAGGTACTGAGATAAGATTGCAGACTTGGGCAGAAGACTGAAACAGTAGAACAAGGCAAGTCTGTCTATCCACGACCGTGTTATTATGTCAAATCATCCTCTGACCTTTGCCCCCTCTCCCCGTCTTCGCCCCCTCCTCTACCCTATTCTCTCCCATCCTCTTTCCCGTTCCCCGCCCCACTCTCCCATCTCTCTTCAGGTATTCCTCAGTACCAGGCGTGGGGCATGGATCCTCAACCGTGTGGGTCAACAAGGGGTGCCATTGGACATGGAATTAAACAGGTAGATTGTCTGGAAATCACCTTTTTGCACCCTTACACTTCGAATACATTACAAATGCTACATTTTCTTCATCCATCATTACTGATAAGAAGTGATTGGACAGACAAAAGAAAGTGCTCGGTCGTAGATTTCACCTGTTTCAGAAACATGCCTGATCAATGGATTCCACTGGAAGGAGGTTGCGTTCCATCAGTAACATATACTGAGTATACCAAACATTAGGAACACCTTCCTAATATTTTAGTTGCACCCCCCCCCCCCCCCCCCCCCCGCTTTTGCCCTCAGAACAGCCTCAATTCGTCGGGGCATGGACGGTGTCAAAAGCGTTACACGGGGATGCTGGCCCATGTTGACGCCAGTGCTTCCCACAGTTGTGTCAAGTTGACTGGATGGCCTTTGTGTGGTGGACCATTCTTGATACACAGGGGAAACTGTTGAACGTGAAAAACCCAGTAGCGTTGCAGTTCTTGACACAAACTGGTGCGTCTGGCACATACTACCATACCCTGATCAAAGGCACTTACATGTTTTTGTCTTGCCCATTCACCCTCTGAATGGCACACATACACAATCCATGTCTCAATTGTCTCAAAGCTTAAAAATCCTTCTTTAACCTGTCTCCTCCCCTTCACCTACACTGATTGAAGTGGATTTAACAATTGACATCAATAAGGGATCATAGCGTTTGCCTTGATTCACCTGGTCAGTCTATGTCATGGAAAGAGCAGGTGTTCTTAATGTTTTGTATACTCAGTGTACACTAACATTGCGTTGGTTCTATTTAGAAGGGCGTTAAAGATGGCCCAGGCTATTCTGCCCTTTGGCCTGCGCTGCAGACTGGGAGAGAACAGAGTCAACCAGAGATTCAACCACAGCCTCTACTCTCTACAGCCCAAACACAGGTAAGAGCACACAAAGAAAGAAAGAAAGAAAGAAAGAAAGAAAGAAAGAAAGAAAGAAAGAAAGAAAGAAAGAAAGAAAGAAAGAAAGAAAGAAAGAAAGAAAGAAGAGAACTGAATATATTTTAAACATGTTGTGTATGTCCCAGGATGCTCAGCCAGCACCCTACAGTGAATGATGAGCTGCCCAACCGGATCCTGTCTGGCACAGTGCAGGTCAAACCCAACATCCGCAGGCTCCAGGGGTCCAGCATTGAGTTTGACGACGGAACCGTGGAGGACAACATAGACTTGGTGGTGCGTCACCAGACCTAGTCATATATACACACACCCAAACTTACGCACAGTTGCCACATTTCACCTGTCCATTATCTCATTTCCAGGTGTTTGCCACTGGCTACAACTTCTCCTTCCCCTTCCTACCGTCCCATGTGCTGCCGGTTTCCAGTAACAAGGCCAATCTGTATAAGTACATATTCCCTCCGGGGTTAGAGCGCCCCACACTGGCCGTTATAGGGCTGGTGCAGCCGCTTGGAGCCATCATGCCCATCTCTGAGATGCAGGCCCGATGGGCTACCAGGGTCTTCAAAGGTACATCACTGTTACTTTTACCAGACATTGGCCCACTTGTTTAACTTCCCTCTATATCTTTTTCTCTTTATCTCTCTCCCACAAGCATACCTCTCTGTTCAGAATGCACTCACAGTTCTTTAAAAAAATATCTAAATGACACAACAGTCTCTATGGTGCACTTATTTTGTCCAGAGCCATACTGTATATAAATTAGATTATCTGTGTTTCACCCACAGGGCTGAATAAGCTTCCCTCAATGGACTGCATGCTGAAGGACATTAAACACAAGGAGGAGACAATGGCTAAGAGGTACTGAGATTGATTTAGTAGATTTGAGGGGACAGGAAAAGTTTAAGCAATATAATGATGGCTCCACCTACCCTTTTAATGGATTTAGGGAAGGTTCCACCATATTGCTTGCTCCTTTAGATCTGCAAAACACAGAAGGGGGCCTATGGGTTGTTTTTGGACAGGGCCTAACTCTCCTGTCTCAGGTATGTGACCTCCCAGAGACACACCATCCAGGTGGATTACATTGACTACATGGACCAGATAGCTGACCAGGTGGGGGTGCGTCCCAGCCTCCTAGGGCTGCTGCTGTGGGAGCCTGGTGTGTGGCTGTGTGTGCTGCTGGGGCCCTGCACCCCATACCAGTACCGTCTGAGAGGCCCGGGACAGTGGGACGGGGCCCGACAGGTAGGGATGGGCCTACAGTGTATTAATACAAAAATATACTGCTGATAATGCTGATGTGTTTTCTGGTATCGATACAATCACTAAAATAAAGCTGTGCTTGAAATTCAGAACTCACTATTCATGTGTTTTAATTATCCCTATTTAAACGAATAGTCTTTGATACTGGCCTAAGTATTACTTGGTACATTAGAGAAACTGAAACATCTACCTCTCCCTCCAGGCCATCCTGACTACTTGGGATCGGATGGCAGGAGCCCTGAAGACCAGGCCCTCTGACATCCCTGAGCCCAAGAAGAGCTCCCTGCCCCTGGCCCTAACCGTGGGGGGTGCTGCCCTGGCTCTGGGATACTACTGGAACATACACAACCACCCATCCCTCCTCATCGCCCTGGACCCCACCACTCTGCTGGACAAGATCAAACCATACCTGCCAGTGTTGTGGTAACCCACTGGGGAACAAACCCAGGCTGTGACTGGGTGTTAGCCCAGCCATGTTAGCCCACTGAACTAAAGCCTAGCCCTCAGTCATTCCACATATTTATTAAATTCCAGTATAAGTACACCTACACCAGCTGTACTAGTCGTGGTATATAACAAATATGTTTAATGACTCAGGGTTCCAGAGTACTAGGTTTTGTAACATTGGTTTGGTTGACTAATGCCCATTAGCCCACTGAGCTAAAGCCAAGGAGGTCACCTCCATTAGACCAGGACAGTGACCTGAAACAAACTCATAACCCAGATGAGCTATTAACCAGAAATACAGAAATGCAATAGCAGGCAGGAATCACTAACTGTCTGTTGATTAATCTGCCAGGTCGTCTTTGTGAAAGATGTGAGTTATACCAACTAATCAGGGAACACAAATTATGTTCCAATGAATCTCTCATAACCAATAATTCACAAATTGGATGCACAGAATTTGAAATAATACACTAATATTGCACTTTGCGTTATCCACAGTATGGTGCCTGTTCTCATAATTGCTGGGATTCCATTTTACTTGATGCCACAGTGCCTAAGACTGATCAAATATACTGTAATGTCCTTTCTTTTGTTCTATAACCTTATTTTCTAATAGCAAAATTCTTATAGGAAAGTGTGGTATAGTACATTTTTGCCTTGATGTTTGGATTGGCTTCAAGTGTTACAAGTTTGTAATTCATTAATCTATTAAAGTTTATGCACACACCAACCTATACCTTTTCCCTTCTTACGATGTACTATACTGACCATAAGTGTTGCAACCTAGTGCCTACTCCAGGAACATCTTTGCTATAAAGCACTAAAGTGTGGCCCAGAGACAACCCCCTAGCCCTTACCCCTTACCATCTATGCACTTGTATGTGAAATAATTGGATATACAGTGGGGGAAAAAAGTATTTAGTCAGCCACCAATTGTGCAAGTTCTCCCACTTAAAAAGATGAGAGAGGCCTGTAATTTTCATCATAGGTACACGTCAACTATGACAGACAAAATGAGGAAAAAAAATCCAGAAAATCACATTGTAGGATTTTTAATGAATGTATTTGCAAATTATGGTGGAAAATAAGTATTTGGTCAATAACAAAAGTTTCTCAATACTTTGTTATATACCCTTTGTTGGCAATGACACAGGTCAAACGTTTTCTGTAAGTCTTCACAAGGTTTTCACACACTGTTGCTGGTATTTTGGCCCATTCCTCCATGCAGATCTCCTCTAGAGCAGTGATGTTTTGGGGCTGTCGCTGGGCAACACAGACTTTCAACTCCCTCCAAAGATTTTCTATGGGGTTGAGATCTGGAGACTCCAGGACCTTGAAATGCTTCTTACGAAGCCACTCCTTCGTTGCCCGGGCGGTGTGTTTGGGATCATTGTCATGCTGAAAGACCCAGCCACGTTTCATCTTCAATGCCCTTGCTGATGGAAGGAGGTTTTCACTCAAAATCTCACGATACATGGCCCCATTCATTCTTTCCTTTACACGGATCAGTCGTCCTGGTCCCTTTGCAGAAAAACAGCCCCAAAGTATGATGTTTTCACTCCCATGCTTCACAGTAGGTATGGTGTTCTTTGGATGCAACTCAGCATTCTTTGTCCTCCAAACACGACGAGTTGAGTTTTTACCAAAAAGTTCTATTTTGGTTTCATCTGACCATATGACATTCTCCCAATCCTCTTCTGGATGCACTCTAGCAAACTTCAGACGGGCCTGGACATGTACTGGCTTAAGCAGGGGGACACGTCTAGCACTGCAGGATTTGAGTCCCTGGCGGCGTAGTGTGTTACTGATGGTAGGCTTTGTTACTTTGGTCCCAGCTCTCTGCAGGTCATTCACTAGGTCCCCCCGTGTGGTTCTGGGATTTTTGCTCACCGTTCTTGTGATCATTTTGACCCCACGGGGTGAGATCTTGCGTGGAGCCCCAGATCGAGGGAGATTATCAGTGGTCTTGTATGTCTTCCATTTCCTAATAATTGCTCCCACAGTTGATTTCTTCAAACCAAGCTGCTTACCTATTGCAGATTCAGTCATCCCAGCCTGGTGCATGTCTACAATTTTGTTTCTGGTGTCCTTTGACAGCTCTTTGGTCTTGGCCATAGTGGAGTTTGGAGTGTGACTGTTTGAGGTTGTGGACAGGTGTATTTTATACTGATAACAAGTTCAAACAGGTGCCATTAATACAGGTAACGAGTGGAGGACAGAGGAGCCTCTTAAAGAAGAAGTTACAGGTCTGTGAGAGCCAGAAATCTTGCTTGTTTGTAGGTGACCAAATACTTATTTTCCACCATAATTTGCAAATAAATTCATTAAAAATCCTACAATGTGATTTTCTGGATTTTCTTTTCTCAATTTGTCTGTGATAGTTGACGTGTACCTATGATGAAAATTACAGGCCTCTCTCATCTTTTTAAGTGGGAGAACTTGCACAATTGGTGGCTGACTAAATACTTTTTTTCCCCACTGTATGGCATTTTTACCATCCTTATCTGTCACCCCTTTCAGAGCTATACAGGTGCCTAGGGTGGTAGGAGACAGGAGGTAGTTGTTAAGCATCGTGTCTGGATGTTTAAAGAGCCACTGTGTGTTTTCTGGACCGATTCCACGTTTGGTTAATTATGTTTGTCCCCCATGAGACACTCGACGTGGAAGCCTATTTCACTTCCCCAAAATCCCCAGAATGAATCTCAGATACCTCAAGAAATCTGTACTTAATTTTGATGAGGATATTTTAGTTGCGCAATTTTACATTTAACTAAGGTGTTTGGTGCAATATTTCTCAAGTAAAATAATGTGCAACGTGTTGTCTTATGTAAGTATTTCGGAGGTGCTGGGCAGGTCTGTCTCACTGTCTATGCTATTGGAGAGAGCGCAATCACCGCAGCTGTTCACCCCATGTTAGTTGGCAAATGGACATCGTCAAATCAAAACCCAAGCTTAATTTACCCGTTGTGACACACAGATGTTCCAAACTCTGTTTTAGATGAGACTCACTTTATGACCAAAATTATCCTATTTACACTATGTAGTCAATTTTGACACTAGAATAAATGTTTCTGGCTCATTTCGATGCAACATAGGCCGTTTTCAAAGGGATTTGTTGCTTTTTAAAGGCAGTCGCACTTTAAAGCTAGAATCCTTAGTTGCTACATCCTATTTTTGACTTTTAAATGAATTATATGTACCCATTTATTCTTGAAGAATATAACTTAGAAATGCCTTGAGCTTACTTCAACTGTCGTACCCAATCCGAACACAAAATACAAGCTTGTTTTACTCAAATGTTTGTAAACAATGCAAATTTAAACAAACACTGTCTAGCCTCATTTTGATATCATGGATGTTCGGTCTTTGCATCCTCTGTCTATGATTTGAGAGTGGTTACATTTCTCCAGGCCCATCCCTCAGCTTTTTTCCAAAACTGAGGCGGTGTGCCGACTTTGTTATTGTTTCAATTAAGGATTCTAGCTTAAATTTTTCTTTGTAATGTTGTATGTATTTTAGCCCAGCATCACTTAAATTGTTGGGATTAATAACGTTTTAATTGAATACTGGAGGATGAAAACAAGTTATGAATTTGAAACTTTATTGTAGAATAGATTCAAAAATAAAAAATGAATTACATTTGCCTCAGCCTCTCAGCCCACTATGTAGATGGTTATTGCTATTGGGGATCCTTGGGACGGCCCTACCCTAACCCCTACATTAACCATTTAAAATGTAAACTTCAATGCACGTCAGAGTTGAGACGTCCCAAGGATGCCGGATAGCAAGGAACCAACAGTGATGGAAAAAGTACCCAATTGTCATACTTGAGTAAAAGTAAAGATAACTTAATAGAAAATGACTCAAGTAAAAGTGTCACCCAGTAAAATACTACTTGAGTAAATGTCTAAAAGTATTTCGTTTTAAATATACTTAAGTATCAAAAGTAAATGTAATTGCTAAAATATACTTAAGTATCAAAAGTAAAAGTATAAATCATTTCAAATTCCTTATATTAAGTAAACCAGACGGCACCATTTTCTTGTTTTTTAAAATGTATGGATAGCCAAAGGCACACTCAGACATAATTTACGAGGGAAGCATGTGTTTAATGAGTCCGCCAGATCAGAAGCAGTAGGGATGACCAGGGATGTTCTCTTGATAAGTGTGTGAACTGGACCATTTTCCTGTCCTGCTAAGCATTCAAAATGTAATGAGTACTTTTGGGTATCAGGGAAAATGTATGGAGTAAAAAGTACATTATTTTCTTTAGGAATGTAGTGAAGTTAAAAGTAGTCAAAAATATAAATAGTAAAGTCAAATACAGATACCCCAAAACACTACTAAAGTAGTATTTTTAAGTATTTTTACTTAAGTACTTTACACCACTGGGACCCAATGTAGACCACAAGCCTCATCCCCAGACTGCAAACTATCCCTGGTTGTCTGTCTTAGAGAAACAACCACCATAACTGTCCCATGTAGCTCAGTTGGTAGAGCATGGCGCTTGCAACGCCAGGGTTGTGGGTTCGATTGCCACGGGGGGCAGTAGGAAAAATGTATGCACTCACTAACTGTAAGTCACTCTGGATAAGAGCGTCTGCTAAATGACTAAAAAGTACAACTGTACAGGGGGTGTTATTTTCAGCTGTGGGGCTAATGATGCATAGCTGAGCTACAGTAGGGTTCCAAACCAAGCACTCCAAACAATTTGCTCCAGCTAGAAGTTGCTCTTAGACACTGATCTAAAATCAGTTTATTCTTACCAATTCTAGCCAATGAGAGGGCAGATACGCGTGTGAACAAAAAGCACAACTAACGGCGCTTTCAAGATGGGAACTCAGAAATAACGAGGTCAAATCATGACGTTGGTGATCTTCAGGTGGGAAAATCGTAGCTCTATAAAGAATTGGAATTTCGAGTTGGATGACCGTACAAAACAAATTTTTCCGAGTTCCCAGTTTTCTTGAACGCTCGGAAGTCGGAGATTTCCGAGTTCCCAGCTGTTTTGAACACGGCATAATTCGTTTTTCTCAAAGTTTCCGGAATGCCACGTGTATTCACTTATATCAGTAAATTTGTAACAGCCTCAACATTACGAAACTTCTATTCCATTAAATAAAGCCTCGCGTAATTCTAAACTCAGACCACAATACAAAAATGGCTTATCTCACGCGGACACATTTTGGTCGGAGTAAATCTTCTCGATTCGCTTCTTCCCCTGGCTTCATCCTACTCCCAAAACTGACGTTCCGCTGCCGCCGTCTTCTGTGCGTGATGATGTCAGACACCCGTGGACTGGCGGTCTGCCATCTTTGATTGTGCGACAGGCCGCGGCGCAAGCAGCTCTCAACGAGAGCAACACTGTCTCACACGAGACAACGGGTGGGCAAAAGCACCAACCGAGAGCCCCTTAACGTCCGAATAACGTCGGAAACCTCGGGAAAGAAGAAAGGGGAGCGTGTAGGCACAGAAGAGCTTCAAGTCCCGTGCAAGTCGAGAGGAAATTGTTGAATGCTAGCTACCACGTTAGTTACCTAACTAGCTATCGTTAGCAAGCTAGCGAGCCAGTTTTTGTAATCCGCCGGCCACACACTCGGCTCGGATATACTACAAAACAGGCCAAACCCAGACATACGACATACTAGAAGAAGAGAGACCGGCGGTGACAGGTAGGTCGCCATGTCAAGAATGTTGTAGCTAGTTCGTGGTGAAAAGCAGGTTAGTAGGGGTGATGGTGCTACGTTGGCCACTTAGCTAGCTCGCTAGCACTGTGCGTCCACTGAAAAAAGCCGAATGTGGATGTGATGATGATGGCGACTTGAGAACCGAAACTGATCGTTCTGACTCTTCTCACCTAGTTAACCCACCATGC